TACCTGCTATCCATCTCACCACAAATCCATCTTCAATGGCCATTTGTATTTTAATGAAATTCCCAACATCATTCAATGAAATAGGAACTGGAACAACCATACTTTCTTTGCATGGAAAAGCTTGAGGACCAAAATTAGTCCCAAACCAAGTATAAACATAATCACCAGAAAAACCATTTGTGAGACATGAAAAGCGTCCACTTGGAGAAGGAAAAGTAATTGTAGGTAGACAACCATAGAAGAAGGTAAGATTATTGTAGTTAGAATCATAAACAAAGATCTTAGTGTCTAATGTTGTGTTGACATGTTTTGCTGGACATGGTCCTTGCATATAGTCTTCTCTAGTGATTCTCATAGTATGTTCATAAGGGTTGGCTTCTAAAACACGATACTTGACTTCATTGATTGTTATGTAACTGATGTTGTCTATGCAAGTGAGATGCAACAAAGGGTAGCCACACTCTTTTGGTCGACCTATTCCCCAGAAAGGAAAACCGATATTTTCTATATTTCCACAATTAAACAGATTCTCACAACCTTCATTGGAGCTCAAATACAAAGGTATCTGAGTCAGTTTCAAGAGGATTATGAATCAAAGGATATGGAGGATATTAAACAGGTAGGCCATTATGAGTGAGGAAAGAACTAAAATATCCTCAACTACAAAGTTGAATGTGCATAGAGTATAAGAATCAAATGAAGGATGTAGTACAAAATGTAAAGAAAAATGCATTTAAGAAAATTCAGTGACTGACTTGTAGAAAATACATGTAGTTGACTTATGCAGAGCATTTAATTAATTAGAATAAGATCAGCTAGTTTTCCTAGATTATTGAATTTTATAGTGTGGGATAGATGCCCTTATACTATGTGAGGAAAGCTACCCTTTAATTCCTAGCTATTCATTACACATAATTGACCAAAACAAATCTTTGACCTTGAGTGTACAGTGCAAAGGATCAATAGGGAGAAGCTTTCTCCACCCCCTAAATGACTTCAGATGTAAGCATTTGAAAAAACCTAAATTTATATTGTCCGAAAGTATAGAACAACAACAATCAGGATTTATCCCACTGAGTGGAGACGGCTAAATGGATCAACTTTCGGCATAATGTTCTATCAAGGACCATGCTTCTATCCAAATCGTTAATCTCGAGATTTTTCTTAATAACTTCTTATAGTCTTTCTAGGTGCATTCCAAAAATACATTTCTAAGATCATGGGCGAGTTTTTAGAAATATGGAGAGTGGAGAGTTTGAAAAGTAACCTCTATCAATATCAATCTTGCTAATATGCACATTTCTAGTAACTTGGATTTAACTTTGCTTCGGACCAACTTATAACTTGTAGGCATGAACATCCATCACTAAGACGACTTGTGGGCATGAACATTCAGTAAGACGACTTGTGGGCATGAACATCCATCAGTAAGAACGGTAATTTCTTACGTGAGATTAAAGAGGAATAAGCATTAATGTCAAGAACCATATCATTATAGCAAATAACGACTTTCCAAAGTAAAAGAATGCGAGATTCCAAATTTCATAACATGATTATATAACAAACTCCCATCCAATATGTAAACCAAAAATGACCCCAAATGGGATTAAATCTAACAAAGCATAAAAAAGAAGGGTGATGAATATCAAATAACAAAATAAAGTAAACCAAATCAAGAAATAGAAAAATATATTGAAATTCATTCAACCTAACAAAGGGAGTTTAGTTCAACATAATAACAACGTAAAGCATAAAGAAAGTAAAGATAAGGGCAAAGAAATTCATGCATAAACTAGTCAAGTTCCACTAATCCTCTCTTTTTGTTCGTCAAGATCTATTGTTGGGATTTGTAAAATGTATTTGAATAGTTTTGATAAACCAAATAAAAACATAACTCGTAAATGACCTCGGACTCTAGAACATCCAACTATAGGCCTCAACATGGCCACCTAGTGGTCAACCAACTTTTGGAGGCCTTGCCTGTGAGTGTGGCTGCATAGCAATGATCAAGACAGCTATCGCTCCACTTCATTCGGTCATTTCACTCTTCAACTTTTGAATTCTATTCGTGCTCTTTATTCCCCTAAAAGCATAAATACAATAATGAGACTCAAAACCATTTAAATATAACAATGTACAGAAGAAATCAGTTTACACCGTCAGAAGAAATTTAAGACTTCCTAAAGGAAAAACAATGTTAAAAGTTGGGAGATTAAATTACTAAAATCCACTTTAAAAGCAAAAGAAAACTGATAATATGATGAATAACTGCCTTTCTAATCTTAAAACTTTGTTGTCCTCAAGTAAAACAGAATCATTGCTCTAGAGAAGAATCAACAACTCAAGGAAACAAATATGAACAAGTCAAATGTTTTCCAACCAGAGTGAGACTCTTTGTTTTAGGCGTGTATGTGGGTGTCTAATACGTGTTGGATACGAACACTTGTCAAACATGTCACGTGTCTAAAAAACTTTCTTTTTGCTTTGACACACCTCTGACACTCGTCAAACATAACCTCGTATTTTATTTGTTAGGCAATTAATAAGTTATTGCACATGCATGTCTTCTAACATACACAAGTCTTCATCATTCTTTCATTGTTTCTCTTTTTTGGCCTCCTATGTTGTCTATGATGACCATCTTGATCTTCAGCTTAGATATTTTACACATGAAGCCCATATTTATTTTTTATTAATTACTATATATATATATATATATGGACACTAACAGTTTTTAAGTGCTCGTGTTTGTGTCATGTTACACGTATGTGTCTGCTTTCTGAAGAAATAATCATGCATGCTTCTTAAGAGCCTAGCCTTTAAGTCTTTAACCGTGTAGGTGTAACCTGAATTTGAAAGAGAACAGGAAGCAAGAATCATAATAGCTACTCACTAATCAATCACGACTTTTAAGAGTTAAAGAACTTGACACATGATAAATAGCAATTGGTATTAAGAACTTATTTTAAGAAAAATTAACTCTTTCGCTCGAATTTGAGTTTGTGTTCCCCACTTAGTCAACAATGCAATTTCCACACTCCAAAATTTGAACTTGGTTTCCTCTTTAATCTCAGTCATTCATGCACAAAACTTAATTAACAAAAGAACCAAGAGGGTCTAACACAAACTAAAAATGGGATTGAAGTAGAGGGTATTTAATAATATAAGAGCATTAAGTTCATACTCAAGAATGAATGTGATACACACATTCTTATTGTTGAACACAGATGAGATACACACATTCTTACTGTTAAAGAATTGAAAGATTACACAGAATTCAATCAATGCAAGAGACAGTTCTACCAAGTTTCGATTCGAGAACTTGGTTCTCTCCACCCAACTAACCACTTACTAATTTCTGGATAAATCCCTAAGTCTAATCTTTCCTTATTTATTCCTAGTAGAAACCAGATTATGGCTTACACTTCAACCTTTGCATATGATTGTCTATATTTAAGGTGCAAATCTACTTGAGATCTTTTCTATCTTAGTTATGTCTTTTGCACTTCAACCTTTGCATAAAAAAATGCCCCACCTACCAATTTAGAATTAGCATGCTCCAACAACTTGCTAATTGGATAATAAGCAACTTTGGAGATACCAATCTAAGACAAGAACAAGCCAGTAGACAGAAGCTGACTTTGTTTCCACATCCAATTAAATATAACTAAAACTACACTTTCTATTGCCTACCACTGGGCTAATTCAAACCTAAAACAAAATAAACCACTACAACCAAATATCTAATTGAACACTTTTAATTGTTTTGACAGTATTCTAGTCTTCCTTTGTACTATTTTTTTATTTTATTTCCTATGAGTGCACTTGCTTATTGTATTTCCGCCTTTGTTTTAATTATGGTGCCTTTCAATCTCCTATCCTCTCATGACCACTTTTCGTTATTTTTTATCATATATTCCCAAAATTTTGTCATTATGCTCCAAGTCCAATTATGACACCTTTAAGATAACACGAACGCACAAAGATATATAAAGCAAATAAAGTAAAAAAAACTAAATTGTTTACTTGTCTATCTTTTGGGGTAGACTTTCTCCTTGCATGCCTGTTTCTTGATCTGAAGAAACAAATTTTGCTTTGTCGAGCTCAAATGGTCCCTGTAACTCACATATTAATCACTAATGAAATAATTAAATAAATAGATAAATAGAAGACTAAACTTTTACATAATCTAAAAGTAGATTATAGAGTGAACAAAGAAATACTTGAAGCATAACGACTAGGAACAAACATAAATAACAAAAGAGGTTAGAATATCTTTATATTTAACATGTCAACTCCAGAAATTATTGAAAAATCCATACAAGCAACATAGTTATTGTAACTGTAAGTGCTTTTTTCAGTAATATTTAACTGTATAGAACTGCTAACCAACCAATACCTAGTGAAGAAAAGCTTTGGACAAACATAGAGTAACCAAAAGCTTGAGATACCATTAGTGATGTAAATCAAACCTCCAGCAATGTTTATTGAATAGGAATGTGCTTAATCATAGTGAAATTAGTCTACATGTGGATTTTTTCATCCTGTATGTGATATTCATCGTAATCCGGCTCATGCCAGCCTCAAAGTGACACTAGTTGATATCAGTATCAAGTGTAGATAAAGTCTTCCCTTTTTTTTTCCAACATGGTAATTGTTTATCATCCTTTAAGGATGAATGAATGGATAGAGGTCAAATGGGTGATGTTTCACTTTTTCAAAGGAACAGAATCCATATCATTCTTTCTTAAGTTTCTCTTCCATCACTCCACAGAAATGTGTATTTTTCTGCAATAATTTTAGTCCTCACAAGGAAAAGGAGCATTAGCACATTTTCAATATAAATTTAACAGTCTATATTGTTTGCATTGCTTCTAGAATTCCTTGTTATCAATGAACAATATTTCAATGACCAGAATATACTTTTCCTCTGTTTCTGCCCCCTACCAAAAATTCTAGTCAATGCTGGAAATGCTACATAGCCCCGGCATTAAAATTCATTATGAAAACCAAATATTTTCCTCAGACATCTTAGACTGAAGGCTTAAGCCACTCATGTGGTCTACAAGGTTTTCCGTTATCAAAAGAATATCATTCATTCTACTGTTTGACTTATCTTGCGCTTCAAATCTGTGGACTTTATTTTTTACTTCAATCCAACTACAACCAGGATTTGGTTTTAGACCTTTGTCTTTCATCAATTTCCGCACACGAGCTACATGATTCCACCAACCAACACTTGCATACAGATTTGCCAGCTGAAGAAGTGTTGCTGAGCACCCGGGTTCCAACGATAACCTGCTTTCCGCTGCTCGAATGCCAATCCAAACACTTCCATGAAGTCTAGAAGAAGAAAGCAGGGAACCCCATATCACAGCATTAGGACAGACAGGCATATTTTTTATGAAATCAAGAGCCTCAAGAAGCAAACCAGCTCGACCAAGAAGGTCTACAATACAAGAATAATGATCTAGTTCTGGCTGCAAACCATGATCAACCATGGAACTGAAGTAAATTTGACCTTCTTTAACAAGACCTCCATGCCGACACGAGGATAAGATGCCAAGGAAAGTTACAGCATCTGGATTAACACCTTGCTTTATCATCTCTTCAAAGAGACTAATTGCCTCTTGTGCAAGCCCATGGTGTGCATACCCAACAATCATAGAGTTCCATGTTACAACATCCTTATTCACCATGTTTTCAAATATGTAAAACGCATCATCAATTGCTCCACATTTGGAATACATAGCAATAAGAGCATTTTCGACATGGAGATTACAAAGAAAACCCATTCGAATTATTTGACCGTGGATACCTCTCCCATGACCAAGTGCTCCACTGCTCATACAAGCACTAAGCAGACTAGTGTAAGTAAAATAATTAGGTTTCAATTCCAAACCCCTCATCTCATGGAAGAGTTCCAAACACATGTCAACGCACCATTCTTGCGCAAACCCAGCAATGATCGCCGTCCACGAAACTACATTCCTCTCAGGCATTTCATCAAACACGCAGTATGCATCCCTTAACAATCCACATCTGCCGTACAAACTTATCAAAGAGCTTCCAACATAAACATTAGCAATGAACCCAGTCGCTATCGCCAAACAGTGATACTGAATACCTCCATAAAGGTCACGTGTGTACCCACATGAACTTAAAGCATGGGACAAAAAACACACATCAATTCCCAATCCTTGTTCCATATCAAGAACAGAGGATTCAACCGTGGTTTCAGCAACGGTCTTTAAAATAACTGAACTATCACAAAGAGGATTTATTGCAGTGTTGTCTAAAATGTCTTCAACTAGCCTAAGATGACTTCGACGATTTTCAATATCAGTGACATTTTTTTTGGGTGATACGAGTTTAAGGACTCTTAGAGCGTTAGTTAACCCTTTGTTTGCTTTTCTGGGTCCTAATTTGTGGAAAGAGAAAGGCCTAAAGCTTTGATTTTTAAGATAAAATGTTGGGATTATGTTCCTTGCTAGGAACGACAGTGCTGTGGCCATTCTTACGGGATCCATTGAGCAAGCTTGAATGAAACTTGAGACAGACACAAAGCATGACATTTAAGTTTTAGTTCAAAAGTTTGACATTGATTTAGACAATTTTTGCTGGAAGAAGGACTGATTTACCTTTCTGAGGGAGATTTTCGGAATCTCCTAATTTTAATATTGTTGTACTTGTAAATTATTTATTTTATTTATTTAAATATTTATTTTCACTTTTCTTAATGAGTGCAACATAAAGATTTCTCATAAAATCACACATCTTACTATTATTCTCGCACAAATTGTTTTATAATTTGTATATATTATTAGAGAGTGTAAATTAGTTATATATTTTATAATAAAATAAATATTATTATTGAGAAAATAAAATATTTATTTCAGGGATTAGATCTAATTTAAAAATTAAACTAAGAAAATAAAAAATGCAAGAACAATCTGATCTATGTTTAAGCAAAAACAAAAAATTGTGAAACCACCACTCGATAACCAATTTCAAGCAAATTTGAAATTTGGTAAATTCAACTTCTCTTTGAAAAATATCTATGTAATGAATTGAGGTAGTGTCTTCCACCACGTAAAATTTGTTATCTCACGATCGTGATTCGCAACACTGTTTGCACACCTATTGTCTTCTTTATAAATATGAGTATATGCCCTATGAACCTGAAGACCTTGACAACTAAACCATCTGTCACGGAGATCCCAAGGTATGAGTTCCTCCTTCATTATGCATTGAAGTACAATTTGAGAGTTTGTTTCTAGCCAAACATTTAATTAGCCTTACTTAGTAGCCTTTTTATCGCTATGATAATCGAAAAAAGTTTTACTTTGAGAACGTTTTGCACCTCAAGATTGATTGTGAAGGTGCCCCAAAAATCCCTTTTGGTAGTACTTTTTAATTCCACGACCTCCTGCTAGAATACCTCTAATCAGTCCATCTGTGTTAATTTTAATCCACTGAAAGTTAGGCTTTCTCCATAAGATTGTAAAATTTGTAGGAGTTTTACAGAACCTTTTCTCAATCTGCAGGTTATCCAAAATTTCATGTTCAATCCTACGATAAGCAATCCAACCTTTAAAGAGAGAAGAGTTAATCTTCGTAGCAGTCAAAATCGTGCCCACTATCACATGCACGCCATGTTTATCATTTTTGAACCTTCACTCATTATTGGCTAACAAAATTTGATTGACAATGTGAATCAAGGCAGCGCTTACAGTATCTTAAAGCTTAGGGTGCCACCCAACGAAGTCATCCTGAAAATATCTTCTGTGGATTTTGAGAAAAAGATGATCCACAATTTCTCAATAATGACCTGTCAGATTGCAAAAGCAAAATGACAGTCAAAGAAGATATGAATAGAAGTTTCCATATGGTTGCTACATAAGACAATCATATAAGCCATACTACACCCCTTTTTCATTAGATTGTCATTGCACAAAAGTTTGTTATGGATCAACCTTTATATGATGAAGGAATCAGAGGGATAAAATGGAGGTCTACCGAATTAACTTTGCCCATTCGAGCGTGGGATGGTTATTCTCAAGTTATGTGTAGGAATCCTTCGTTGTTAATAAATCATTGGTGAAATGCGTCCAAACTAATCAATCAGGAAGTTATCCCCGAGTTATCTGAATTTGATTGATACAAGCGGTAGTCTCCAGATAATTCAAAGTGATAAAGTTTGAAATGGTTCATCTATGATTCTCAATGAGATCTTCTAATTTTGTAGACATCATTTTCCTATTGATCCAAGGTATTTCTAAAATCTCATTGAGCGTTTTGTTGGCATTTCAGTAGTTAATTTGTCCTCTTTTTGGACCATCCATATAGTTCCCTCCAATAGGCAATTAAGATGACACTTTATCTCTTGTCAAATAGAAGAGGTAATGCGATACGTACGATGCGAGTTATTATACGTATATTGAGATCTGCGAACAATCGCCCACTTTCCTTAGATGTCATAAAGCCCCATGTAAGCTTAAAAATCAAGGCGTCATTGATATGCTTAGCCCATGCAAAATAGTTTATATATTTGTATATATTAGATAGACTAAAATAATTTTATAAACATTGAACTTTAAAAAAAATAGAGAACTGTCACATGAGATATTTTAGTAAGGACTTTGAGTTAATATAAAACTAAAACTTTTAATAATATAAAATTAAAATTCTTGAATAATATAAAATTAAAATTCTTAAACAAAGTATGAAAAGATCTAACAATAGTAGCTAAATCGATAAAGAAGATGATTTGTGAGACACCACTATATAAAACAACTAACTTCAATGTAGCTAAATCGATAAAGAAGATGATTTGTGAGACACCACTATATAAAACAACTAACTTCAATGTGTGTCTTATAAATATGGACACTAGAGAGAGTGGATCTTCGAACACATGCTACATTAAGACCTAATTCGGTCAAACATTAAGCGATTAACATGAATTCAATGGAGTATCAACAAACAGAGAGCAATTTAAAACATGTGTGATTTCTAGCACACAATCTGCTGAGAATACTTCAACAAAGTAATCATCACGATCATGGTATGTCACTAAAGTGACACTTAGTTTCTTTTCCATATAAATAAGATTCTGAAAAAGAAAAAATGGTCGGCTACTTTGTTCCGAACCTTCCTCCTAATTAGAAACAAAACTCTAACTTTTTTGAAATTTAAGTGAACCTTCAACAATATTATAAATTCCTTTACATTTTCAATAAATTTATCTTTAAAATCAGTTTCTTATAATGCATTTATTTTCTCTACACTTTACGTTTCAAGATTTTTACATTTTTATTAAAGTTATATTTCCTTCTTCTTCTTTTTTACTTCACAAGTCTTTTATTTTCATGTCTTTTAAATTTAACCGTCATTTTACCATAATTTATTGATAAGTGTTAAATTTATCTAATTTAAAATATACTTTTACTAGCACTTATTAACTTGAATTCACTAAAACTATAAGTTCTTTTTCTAGTTTATGGTACATATGTAAGAAATAGGATTTTATTGTATTGAAATGCTTTATTTCTGAACTTGTAAAATGAAGAAAAGGCCTAAGATACTCGTGAGATGGTTGGTGTCTGAAGAAGAAGGAAGATAAAAATAAAATATCTTAGGAGGTAAATAGAAGAGAGTATAGTATTTTAGCTTAAGATTCCAAAAATATCGATCTAGATATTGTGCATGACTTTTTTTTTTGACAATGCCTATTGTGGAACTTTGTTTTGAAAATGATATGTTTTTAATAAGGATAACAACTTTTGTTAAACTATTTATGATGACAACTTATTGATAATAACTCCAACATCCTCTAACAAGTCAAGTATAAATGATTAAGAGGATAAAGATGCAAACCTAAATATTAAGGTTTGATGGACTTGACTATTCGATAGCGGGAACCAAATAGAATATAAGCCCAAGCCTCATCTCATATAAACTCAAGCAAGTGTCTACAAAATAAAGCATCGGACAAAATCTTGAAGTGTAAGGAATTTTTTACCTTATTCCTAGTGAATATTGTGTAAAGAAAAAGGGCATTCTCGTAAAATTATATGGTTAAAAGTATTTGTCTAATCGATTAGATCGGTTTGAAATTGAGCTCTAAGCGATCACGACAGCATCTTAATCATGTACAACGGCTAGATACATTTCTTCACTAATTTGAATTGGTAATTGATTACCATTGAAGTTTTTAATCGATAGCATTAGGCTCTAATCGATTAACTTATCTTAAAAAATATTAAAATCAATTTTCTTTTTGAGTTAACCTCTAGTCTATAAATAAAGGTCCATTCCCTCATAAAATTTTCCATTTATCATTCATTTTATTTTGGTTGGAAGTTTCCTTGTTAAGTCTCAAAGAATATTTAAATATGGCAAAGTTGAAAGTTTACTATGTTAATTCTCGGGGAACCTTTTCAAATGATGATTAATTTTTTTTTGTTAAATCCCAAAGGATCTTTCGATAATCGTTAGTTGAAAATTGTCTTTATTAGTTCTCGAAAAATATCTCAATGATGGCTAACTGAAAGTTTTTTTCGTTAAGTCTCAAGGAACCTTTTGACGCTGGTAGTCGAAATTGCTCCGTTGGTTCTAGGAGAATATTTCAATGATTGCTAGTTGCACGTTTTCTTGGTTAAATTTCAAAATTCAAAGAATCTTTTGATATGGCAAAGTTGAAAGTTTGTTCTATTAATTCTCGGAGAACCTTTTCAAATGATGATAAGTTAAAAGTTCACTTTGTTAAGTCTTAAAGGATCTTTCGATAATTGTTAGTTGAAAGTTTTCTCTGCTAATTATTGAAAAACCTCACAATAATGGCTAATTCAAAAAAATTCTTTGATAACTCTCAAGGAATCTTTCGGTGCTGGTAGTTGAAAGTTTGCTCTACTGATTTTCATAGAATCTTTCAAAGGATTTCTAGTCACATGTTTTCTTGGTTAAAATTCAAAATTTTAAAAAAATGATACTCGATAATTGAAAGTCTTCTCTGTTAGTTCTCGGGTAATCCTTCCAAATGACAATTAGTTGAAAGTTCACTTTGTTAATTCTTAAAGGATATCTCGATAATTGTTAGTTGAAAGTTGTCTCTGCTAATTCTTGAAGAATCTTTCAATGATTGTTAGTTGCATGTTTTATTTGTTAAATTTCAAAATTTCAAAAAAATCCATCATTACTTGCTAATCGGATGTCTTCTCAGTTAATTCTTGGAGAACCTTTCAAATGACGGTCGATTGAAAGTTTGCTTTGTTAAGTCTCAAAGAATATTTTGATAATTGTTGATTGAAAGTTGAATTGTTGATTGAAAGTTGTCTTCGTTAAATCTCGGAGAATCTTTCGGTATTTGTTAGTTGAACGCTTTCTTTGTTAAGTCTCAAGGAATCCTTTCGATGATCGTTAGTTTTAAGTTTACTCTGTTAATTCTCATAGAATCTTTCGATGATTGATAATTGAAAGTCTTCTTCGTTAAGTCTCAAAGGTTCTTTTAACGTTTGTGTGTTGAGAG